CAGCGCGTCCACTACATCTTCCCGCATCATCATCACCGTGGAAAAATGGAGCCCAAGGTGGCCCGTATTCGCGTGCCAACGCGACGCAGTCTCTCCCAAGTAAACTGCCATACGACTACCGTAGAGTACCGAACAAGCGCCCATCCCCTTTTTCTAGCGATTATCCCTAAATTTTAAGCGGGCGCTTGCCCGGTATTTTACGGTATATCCATCTGTCTTTTTCACGAAAGTGTTCAACGGCGGGGACTACTTTAAGGGCAGTCCATTGGGAAACATACTCAGAGACTCGAAAGTTAGTTGAATAAATTGTGGCGAGATATACATATATATATATATGTGTGTGTTATCTTTACCAGTAAAGAAACGTAGTTTTGTAGAAATCAAAACTATTGAGTTGTTTACATTTTGTCAATTATTCATATATGGAACAATCAGCAAGTTTTGACTTCCGAGCTCTTGGGCCCCAGAAACTGTCGCGACATTTGTCACCAAAGCAAGTAATTCGGTAGTCACTAGCGGAGATCTAAGACGAGGAATACGAAATGAACATTGCAATATGCCAGTACCAGAAATTACTTCCCTACATGGTTCCCCGAAGGAAACGACGCGCAAGATTTTTAAGAAATGGAGTCGAACGTTCATGACAAGTGTTTTTAGAGCTTTGCGTAATTTGTTCGATATGTAGCCATGCAAGCTATATTGTTTCGTTTTATTTGAAATGTAATACATACTTAGACTCAACCCAGTATTATAGTGATTTCGTCTATGGGGACTAAAATAAGTTTTGATGGCGTATGTTTCCTGCCACGTTTATTTGACCCTGAGGTGAAAATGGGCCTATTCAGATAGTTCGTTTCAATCTGATGGAAGCATCGCTAATACTTGATGCAGGAACCAACATCTGCTGTATTTTTTGTTTCCCTTCGATTAATGAAAAATATTTGGTCTACTTACATGCTATCTGTACATACTAACTCTATAGTCATTCAAATATCTAGAAAACGCTGGACGGCGCTGATTATGTTTACGCTCAGGCTTTCCTATTCCTTCTTTGCATTCTTGTACGGAAAGGTAGTCCTCTGCTCCTTGCGCAGGGGTGTCGGGGACGTCAGAAAGACACCGAGCTCGGATTGGCTTTGATGAACGCTTAGTCGGTAGATCTGAATGCTAGACGCCTTGAAGTCTACCCACTATCCTTCATTCAGAACAACTCAGAGCTTGGCGTGGTGATGTCACCACAACCCCTGCAAAAGAAGCAGACGAACTTGCGCTCCGCATTGGCACTATCCGGAATATCATTGACTGCGGATGAATAATAATATTCGAAGAACTCGTCACGTTCCGCGTTTTTTAAACAGTAACTTTAGTCTAGGGCCTAGTCTCGCAATCTTTTTTTTTTTAAGTTAGATTATGTGCACCATCGGATACTTCATCGCATCTTCATCCCAATTTGTAGAACTTCGTCTCAATTTTTAATCGGTATCACGAATCCGACAAGTTTCAAACACTAAGTAAGGCAACATGGATATCTTTGGTACAAATATGACCCTTTTTTTAGCGTGTGTATGAATTTTAAGTACATGCATAATCTTCAGCTGGCGCACGACGTTCAAGCTCTAATGTTAGGGGTGAATAGGTATCTTATGTTTTGTGTTTTAAAGCGAGAGCTTTAAGTTTCTCGTGTCGCAAAAAAGCCGGAGTCGGCGTCTGTGTCGTGACGGGAAAACCTGAGTGGTCGATATGGTGATGACGTCACAACCCCATTATCTCGCGCGGGAATTTCAGACAACCCACAACGCAAAGCGTGAAGCGTAAACACCGCGTGACGTCACGTAAAACGTGACGTCACGCGTGGAATGAAAGTGAATATAAGCGTGGCATGTTTTAAATGATTTCACTGTGCAAAGTAATTCATTTGCTTTAAATACAAATTGGGAGCCGTTCCACTTGGTGAAGGTGGATGTCCAGCGAAGCTGTTTAGCACACAACTCAGACGTGACGCAGAATTTTGAACAAAGGTACGAACACAATTATTATCTTGATCGGTGGTCATCGTGACGAAAGGTACGCACACACACGTGCCGCCCGTCGCCGCCGCTGACATTAGAGAGTTTTAGTAATAAGTATAGGAGCAAACGCAGACCCCATACGTTAACGTTAACGTTGCGTCCTCCAGACTGCGCATGCGCCATACGTACGTAGTGCGGCGAGCCTTGCGTACGTACGCTCGCTATCGATTTTTGCGAACGTACGTAGCGGTCCCCTGCGTGCCATCTCGTTGCTCTCGTCGCGCACGGGAGAGCGCGAGACTAGTCCAGTTTGAAAAATGGCGGCGGTGAGGCAAACCAGCGGAAGTGCTACGCGCATTGTACGGGTTCGCTTTACCATTGAAGATGACATCAACCTCCTCAAAGAAGTCAACGCGACGAACCCTTTCCAGCACCCACAAAGATGGCTGTCGATAGCCAAGAACGTTGGCGACGCCGTCAAGCCCAAAAAGGTGTTTACCGTGCGGTCGGTACAAAAAAAAAAGACAAAACACGTACACAACGGGCACACGGAAACGCGCACTTCCGCAACAAAGCGAGGAGAATCGGGGCTTTGAATTGGCTTGACCGAATACCCGCCTTGGATTGTTTGAAGCAGTTTACAGGAGCACATCTAGATGGCGCTACAAGTCTTTACGTATGCGTTCTTCTTTCGCTGTACTAAAAGTGCGTATTCGACGCGCTCCGTAACGTTCCGTCGACGCAACGTTAACGCTAACGTAGGGGGTTTGCGTTTGCCCCTATACGTATTACTAAAACTCTCTATTATCGTTGCCGTTCCCACCGTTGTTTTTTGCAGGGGCGTCGCTCTTTGCGAGTAAGAGCAGAGACAGAAAAAATGCCATCCCCCTCTCACTCCGGGCGTCGTCTGCTCCGCCGAGTGGGCTGTACGTAACATCCGGCTGGCGTTCTAACTCGGTTTAAAATCGCGTCATTTTGGACATTTCAACGCAGATGCGTGGATTTTGATATGCAAAATATTGTGTAATGCTATGCTCGATAAAAAGACTAACCGAGTCTGATTGCGATGTTACCTTAGAGCACATAACAAAAATTGAAAAAAAATTTGAAAAACTGTGTCAGAGTGGCCGGTCACTCCAGCGAAAAGAAAATCCGGTTGCTGTAGCTATTTTACTATACAAAGTTTGTACTGGCGTAGGCCTTTTAGCGACAATGAGTGGAAGTCTGGAATAATAAATAAAAACCTGCTCTCCTGGCGCAATAGACGCCGTGTTTGATTTGCCGGCTGGCTCCACTGCTATTGAAGTAACGGAACAAAGATACGCTAGTTGATTATTTACTGAAATAAAACAACAGAGCGCTAAAGGCTGATTTTGGAGTAACCATAAATATTCTAAGAACGCGAGCCACTTTATAATGGCAGCCACGAGCGAGAGTTCGATGTTCAGTACAGCCCTCCGGCGAAGCCCAAATACGGAGAACGGCAACCTCCCGGTTTGTCGTCTGCTAGAAGGGTCGGGCGCGTGCCCTCTCTCTTTCGTTTTACCCCGCCGAACCTGCTGAACTTCCCAGATGTGTGGAGAGGGTGCTGCGGTCTAACAAAATGGCGCCGTCCTGAGAGCGATAAATGAAATGGTCTATACGAGACCTCCCAATTACGACGAGAGAAGTGAAATTGAAAATGCAAAGCGGCAACGTGACTTTCTCGTTTTTTATATACATTCGTGTGGACGACTATCGCCGCCCCGTAAAGCCGGAAGGAATTAGACACGCGCGACTGGGCCGCCACCGGGCAGAAAGTAGACAAGTGCGACGGGACCGCCACCGCGGGAGACCGAAAGGAAAGGAAACGAAGCACGCGAGCCCTTGGAATGACGACAAAGAGGGGGCGGTGCGCGCGTAGGGTTTTTAATCACGCACCCGAAAAATCCACGGAATCCTAGCCATAAACAGCTTCGCTCTAAAATTTCGAAGAATTTATTGGAGGCGGAATTCGTACCCACGACCCTTCGGTTGTGAGTCGGAAAATCTACGTACTAGGCCACGCAAACACGCTTGCACGGCTTGGGAACGAGCGGTGTTTAGCTTTCACGTTACACTCTTAAAGGTAAAGCTTCAGCATGCTCCTGTAATTTTTACCGCAAAGGCTTTGGGGCTGTTGGTACGAACGTGAAAAATAGGCATCGGACATTAAACATCAAAATATACTTGAGTCAACAGTGTTTTACGAAAAACAGCGAGGGAATTCAGTATTACAGTGGGAATAACAGCGGTAAATATTTTAGGCGCTAGGCTAGGCTCTAATCACTGACAACGTACGCGACGCCCGGCGTGGACAATTATGTTGACCCTTGCTTTGTGATTTTCTATAAGGAGCTTGCGACACCTGAAGGGGGGCGCGCGGATCTAACTGATGTGCACGCCAAATGACTCTTTTAGGTGACTCTTTTAGGAGCCGCACCGCGGCGCCACTGTGTTGTCGCACGCTTCCCACTATCACTGCGCAGTTAGTCAGATTGCAGCGTTACTCATTATGAAGGCCGAAGAAGGTATCAGGCAGCGCATCCGTATAATATGCCCTACCACGGACAAAGAAAGATCGACAGGGCTTATTATCTTCGCGTGGATCGGCGCGCCTTTAAGCTCACGCCACTATCACACTTAATTCGGAGCGATAATAAGATGTTCGGGATGCGCCCCGCCCTGCGTTTTTTCAACTTTCAAGGACTACAATATCTGCGGCGCTAATTTTTAATGCTCATAACATAGATATTTGTCACCTGCAGTAAACATGACCTGCTATAAAAATGAAAGTTCACATTTATTTAAGATCCGGAACTGACTATAATTTAAGGGGTTAGAGGTTAAAGTTAGGGGATTTATTGTTAGGAGTTGCTGTGTTGCGTCGCGGCTGTTGTGACCTCAGAACCAGTCATTTTAAGGAAACTTTACACGCGGAAGTCTCGATTTTTGTCTCGTCTTTTTTTACAGGTTTCTGGCTTGTCTCTTGTGATAGGACAGAAGCTAGCGAGCATTGGTCACCTTTCTCCGGGAGTTCTGATGATGACCCTGTCTATATTCTGCTCTTTTATGTCGGAGCTTATCAGCAATGCGGGCACAGTGACCGTGCTACTTCCAGTGTTTGCTGCATTGGTAAGTGAGATGACTTCGTGGCGTATGTTTTTGTCGACTTTGCTATGTTCTGGTGAGATCGATGAAGAACGTACAGGCAGCTGCCACGGAGCTTGTGGAATTTGTCTTAAAGTACACCCACCGGCAATATGAAGGTGACCAGCTTACCTGGATTCTTTCCTGTTTTACGGCTCCCTAAAGCTATATTAACTCTCATCGTCTCAAATGGTACGTGACTTGGGGTCTAAACTTTGCGTTCTAGCCATCTTCTGGAACAGAGCTGGTTCCAAAACTTGCAGGAGCGTCAAAAACAAGAAGAGGGCTGTTCACCTTCATATCGCTCATGGGCGTACCTTGGTGAATCTACACTCCAGCCCTTTATTGCCCTAAAGATGTGATACCTTTGAAGACTTATTGACTTTATAAATAGTCGGCTTCGCGACTTTCCGAAACAAATAAATTGTATGTACGCCTCCTAGAAACGAAGCAAATCTATGCAAGAGTCACATCCCGCTGCATAATATCAATACAAACAACTTCGACAACAATCTTTAAATATATTTTTTTTAAATTCTGGGGCCACCAAACCCTAAAATCGAGAGCGTGCGGGCGTCGTTGACCATTAGCCAAATTTAGCGGAAAGATATCGGCGAAAGACTGCCGCGCGTAGACAGGCCGAGTGTACCGAGCTCACCGGAGGTCCGAAGAGGCGCTTAGAATGCCAAATTATATCGCACTGCATCTATTTTGGCAGTAGCCATAGAAAAGGCATAGAAAGGAGGGTGATTCTGCGGGTAAGCTAATTAACGATCATACAAAAAAAAATGTTCCCTTGGTTTGAAGGGAGAATGCATAGTTCTTTAATATCAAAATGTTTTTAGTCAAGGGCCATAATCATAGATAAAAAAAACCTTTTCAACGATTCAGCGTTACGCTCTGTTTTCCCTTTGTGCACCTATCTTTCTCTTTGTGCCCCTTCAATGTCTTTCAAGACATACTAGGGAGTTTTAGTATATCGTGTTCAAAGGCCCGCGCTACCGCTACGTGCGCGCGCTTCAGAGCATGCATCGATCTGGCAGCGCGAGCTCCCGCTACAAATAGCATGGCCTGTAAACGCGATCTGTTAAAGCTCTCTCTTAGGTAGTTTTAGAATAGCGCACTCAAAAGCTTTGCGTACGCCAAGCAATGGCGTCTTCGCCAAACGGCCATTCAAAACGCTGTTAGGACTCGGCGCGTTGGCAGTGGCGACAACGTCATTACTTCAAGCTTTGTGCGTACGCTATTCTAAAACTCGCTAGCGCTTCAGAGCTAAAACTGAGAGCGCTGCATTTTCTGTTTCCTCGGTCTAGGCGGAAGACCTCCAGATGAATCCACTGCTGTTCATGATCCCGGCGACAATCACCAGTAACTTTGCATTCCTGCTTCCCGTGGGAACTCCGGCCAACGCTATCGTATACGAACACGCTCGGCTCAAAGTCTCAGACATGGTAAGCTGTGCACGTTACGTTTTCTTACGATTGTAAATTTATTTTGCACGTGTCACAAGGAGAAAAGGATGAGCACCTCTAACTACTGAGTTAATTTTTCTACCGCCAGAGACCACTTAATGAAATGCAGGCCAATCAAGAGCATATTATTATCGCTCAAAAGCCATTGAAATTGTTGCAAGAAGTACACATCACGCAGCAAGACACACATCACACAGCACGCGGCAAGACAGGCCCTTCATTGGTTTATCTGGGTGTGACTATTTCAGTCAGACGAATAAATGTCTCAAAAAGCTGACAATTTTATTTTACAAAATTAACTTAAAGGGTACTACTGGTACCTTACGCATTGATTATTTAATTGAATTCGTGTTAATAGCTTATAACTACTTTTTGCTCCCTTCTCAGCAAACGACCGAGGTTCATTTGATATATTTAAAAATGTGAGAAAAGAGAAGATAAATCATTCGTAAAATGTAAACTGGATGCCAGACACAAAGAAATCTCTCGAGCTGAATGTGACTTATTTGTATCAAACTGCGTACTTCTCTACATGCGGATAAGTCAGCCATAGCCACCGGCAGCTAAGAAACGCAGAGTGCGGCGAATCTCGTGCCTGTTATTATCGCTCCTCAGCCAGTCAGAATGCAGCGTCAGGCGATAAGAAGTCTCAAGAACCAATCACGAAGCAAGAAGATGCACATTACAAGTCAAACCCTGCGTTTTTCAGGCTGACAGGAACTATAGCAAGCTTTTTTTTCTTGAGATGACCCAAAAGTATTTCTAACAGAATGGCTATTATTAGATGTGTAATATGGATCATTGACGACATGTGTCTTCTTCTCCAGGTCCTTCCTGGGTTCTTAGTGAAGGTAATTACCTTGATGGTAACGGTGGCTGCGACGTACATCCTTGGAGACCCTGTGTTCAACATGTTTAATTTGCCCGGCTGGGTGTTCGACACGAACACTGCCAACGTAACCAATGTGGGAGTTCGCCGATAGCAAGAACTTTGTGTGCAGCCATGCTGGCCGATTGTACAAACCGAGTGTGCCGTTGTATCGTCAAAGGCCATTCCCGTGTACCGCCGTCCTGTGTACATAAAATGGCGGTGTTGTTATACGCCAAATCTACTCTCTGACATCACGCCTCTGAAATGGCGTTGTTTTCTGCACTGCTCATGCGCCCACGCTCTGTCGCGTGGGAACCTGGGGGTCTCAAATGACGGAAGTTCCCTCTTTGGCCATTTGAGCCTCTAGTCAATCAGACGCGACAATGTCAGTTCCGTTACTTCCGTTTCTTTTTAAGAGAAACGAAACATATGTCGAACATAGCCCCCCAGGTCACTGCGCGCGCGAAGGGCCCGCCCCCTGTGTGGGCAAACACGGACTTTGTTGTGAGCAGCGTGTTCGTGTATCGATCGACATGGGGCCAGCTTAAGACGAATACATAATATGCATCGACGCCACAAGACGCGCAAGTACCCGGCACGTCTGCTACAATGGTTTTAAGTTTTGTTGCGCCGCCAATGCCAGCACGCATAGTGGGCACTGTTGTCTTTTCATACGTGCGACAAGCCCGCTGAAGGTCTCTGCGAAAAAAGTACAGGGCGGCACGAGCCGTCTTGTGCACTGGCACCTGCCTCCTGTGCACTACAATTATGGCGGCGTCACGAAGGTATGAAACACGTAAGCGTGAAACACCAATGAGCGAAAGCCGCGTTGCTTAGCTCCACCGCAAGTGGCATAACCATGGCAACAGCCACTGACGTTTTTACGTGGCGCAATGCCCAGGCACCTCGTCAGATGTCAGCGACGATTGCTATGCTGAAAGGGCAACTCTGTTCCATACTTTCGATTTTGGGATTACGATTGTTTTTAGTGCAGTCGGCGTCCCTGAATTGCAACGTGTAATTTTTTTTTCTCGTTATTGTGCGTAGTTGTAAAGATATCGACGCCTCAAAGGTTTGTTTAGGGCGCGGCCAACAAAACCGAAACTTGCCGCTCGAGACCCCGGCAGCACTGGAAATCAGCCGCTAGGCGAACATGACGTCAGGATTGTTCTCGTTCAACGAGGACGCAGGCCGAGGGGCACCTACCTCTGTTGCGCCAGCCGTCTAAAGATAGGAGGTAAGCTAATTTTGTTTTAGTTCTGTATACGTGGTAGTTATCCAGCATGTGTAGCAATAGTTAGTGCCTATACCCAAAAGCTAGCGACTGGAAAACCCGTGAACTCGTACGGTGCCGTACTCGGCGGCAGTCGCCGTGCGTGAGCTGTGCCGTACTCGTCGCTTGTATACCCAAAAGCTAGCGACTGGAAAACGAATGAACTCGATCGGTGCCGTACTCGGCGGCTGTCGCCGTGCGTGCGGTCTTCCGTATTCGTCGCTAGGCCTCAATTGTCATCGGGGCTCCGTGGATGGAGCGGCGTTGCTCTACGCCGCGCTGCCAGTGACGCTCAGTACTGGGGGCCCTCTCGCTTTCGCGCTGCGGGTCAGTCTCGGACACGAAGCTTTGAGGCTCTCCGGCGTGGGCCGCGGCGCCCGCACACAGGTGTGCTGGGCTGTAAACGTCTGTTTTTTCGTGTTTTTTTTTCATCGGGCGCGTAGAAGCCGAAATCCAAAGTCCACTCGTCGAACAGCATTCACCCACACCTTCTCCAATTTCAAGTCCGTTGGAAATTTGTGAAAAAGCACCTCCGGGTTGTGCAGCGGGTTGTTTGGACAGCCCGCAGCGCTACAAGTTGAACTCGACATCTTTCGAGGAACAGCTGGGTAGTCTTGGGCGCACCGAGTTGCTCGCTAAAACGAGTCTTGGAGTCCTCACGAGCAAATAAACAAAAGGCTATACCGAAGCCACACGGTATACAGATAAAAGCGACAGCTAAACACGCCAATCACAAGCCGAAGTAGCGGTGGCAGCGGCTCAAAGAAGCGCACTACGCGGAAAAAACTTTTTACCTTCGCACTCCGGAGGAAAAAAGGAGAACGATACTGACGTCACGGCCCAATGTTGCTTTAGCAATCGGCAACCCGCTGGCCGCCCGCTAAGGAGCAGCGGCTCACGGCGGGTCGCGTGTTTATTATCGGCATTAGTTGAGAATGCGGCGTCCCACGGACGTAATATTTTGGTTGGGGTCGTATTTTGTGTCACTACAGCGATACCAGGATTTTATTTCATTTTGAGTTTTGGCCGGAGTTGCCCTTTAAGGCTGCGGTCCCACGGGCGCCATCTTGAACAATGCAGTAGTTCAAGCACCAGGGCCGCGATGCACGTCCGTTCGCTTGCATAGGCAAATGTTTGCGGATGACACCGGCGTTCCCCCTTCACGTCTGTATACTTCTCAGCCGCTGCCTGACGTGGCCCAGCTCCTCCGAGTTTCGCGCTGTCATTCTGCTTAAGGTAACCGCGGTCGTGTCTTAAGCGCTATCTTAGGTAATCAGCCTTTATTATGAAGGAAGGATTTGATTTCTTTTTATTTGAATTCTTACTGGGAACAGAACTCTTATTTTTCATTTTTGGTGGATCAAATGTTGTGTTTCTTTTTCTGTATACACAAATATGAAAGCCGATACGCGTGCAGAAATGCTACAAAAAGCAAAAGTGCTTTCATGTGCATTTATAATATTGGTTCCAATAAGAATATTTATTAAAATAGCGATGTGAACATGCAAGAAAAAGTGACTAACGTGGAAATTTGGGCTAGTTGGTATTTCAGGATTAAAAATTAAAACAGCACAAGGACACGGACAAGAACAAGAAGGTAGATGAACAAGGCGCTGACTTACAACTAAAGTTTATTCGTGCTAACATGAAGTATAAATACTGAACGTCATGACAAACACACAAAGATAAAAAAGATAAAAAAAAACATGTAATGGACGCCACGTGCTCCTTAGCCACCGTTATGCGCTGTCACTTTGTGTCGAGAAAGCAACATTCCTTTTCGGATAAACATATGGAAGGAGTGCTGACCGCAGTTTTCCCCCAATTTTCCAATTTCCCGCGCCTCAATGATTTCTCGAATGAGCTTGTCCTTATTCTTTCTATTCACTTCACACTTGTCGAAGACTGGAGTGCAGCAGCAGTCACGACATTGCAGGCCAAGGTGGCCTGACACAACTCTAAAAACGTTATACTTGTGTTCTCGCAAGCGATCATTGAGGCACCGCCCCGTTTGCCTGACGTATCTCCTGCCGCACGAGAGGGGAATAGAGTACACCACTCCCTCCACACAGTTCACGAATCGGTCGTGGTGTTTTTTGGTGCAACCCTGCTTTTCTTTAGAACAGGGTTGAAAGAGAGCTTCGACGCACAAGCATCATGGCTCAGATATTCGGGATATCCGTCTTACCTGTTGACGTCAGGTGCTGAGAGCCTACTTCAGAAAGCACGCGAGGAAACGGACCAGCAGACTCATAGGGTTAACAGAAAAGTAACCGTTTTACCATACCTACACAAGATCTTGCACCACCTAAAGAAAATTGGCCGAAGGGTTGGTGTTGAGGTTGTTTCTTCGGCTCCGGAAAATCTGTCTGGGCTGTGCAGAAAAGTGAATCCGTGCTCTAAAGAAAAGCAGGGTTGCACCAAAAAACACCACGACCGATTCGTGAACTGTGTGGAGGGAGTGGTGTACTCTATTCCCCTCTCGTGCGGCAGGAGATACGTCGGGCAAACGGGGCGCTGCCTCAGTGATCGCTTGCGAGATATTCGGGATATCCGTCTTACCTGTTGACGTCAGGTGCTGAGAGCCTACTTCAGAAAGCACGTGAGGAAACGACCCAGCAGACTCATAGGGTTAACAGAAAAGTAACCGTTTTACTATACCTACACAAGATCTTGCACCACCTAAAGAAAATTGGCCGAAGGGTTGGTGTTGATGTTGTTTCTTCGGCTCCGGAAAATCTGTCTGGGCTGTGCAGAAAAGTGAACTCCTATTCTAAAGAAAAGCAGGGTTGTACCAAAAAACACCACGACCGATTCGTGAACTGTGTGGAGGGAGTGGTGTACTCTATTCCCCTCTCGTGCGGCAGGAGATACGTCGGCCAAACGGGGCGCTGCCTCAGTGATCGCTTGCGAAAACACAAGTATAACGTCTTTAGAGTTGTGTCAGGTCACCTTGGCCTGCAATGTCGTGACTGCTGCTGCACTCCCGTCTTCGACAAGTGTGAAGTGAATAGAAAGAATAAGGACAAGCTCACTCGAGAAATCATTGAGGCGCGGGAAATTGGAAAATTGGGGGAAAACTGCGGTCAGCACTCCTTTTATATGTTTATCCGAAAAGGAATGTTGCTTTCTCGGCACAAAGTGACAGCGCATAACGGTGGATAAGGAGCACGTGGCGTCCATTACATGTTTTTATCTTTTTTATCTTTGTTTGTTTGTCATGACGTTCTGTATTTATACTTGATGTTAGCACGAATAAACTTTAGTTGTAAGGCAGCGCCTTGTTCGTCTACCTTCTTGTTCTTGTCCGTGTGCTTGCGCTGTTTTAATTTTTAATGAGGAAAAATTGCATAATCTAATGTATAATTCGCTCTAAACGGTTAAGAAATTTAGGTATAGGAATCGACTTCCTCGGTCCTTCTCCTCTGTCGACAAGCGGGAACAAGTGGATCATTGTAGCTATTGATCATTTGACACGCTATGCTGAGACGACTTCTGTACCCGCCGCCAACGCCAAAGAAGTTGCTAATTTTTTTCTGCACTCCATTCTCTTGCCCGTCACGGAGCTCCCCAGTTTATAATTAGTGATCGTGGCGCTCCCTTTCTCTCTCAAGTCCTTGAAGACGTCTTTCGGCTTTCTTCCACAGTCCACAAAGTCACAAGCGCCTACCATCCCCAAACAAATGGACTGACCGATCGCTTGAACCACACACTTGCCGACATGGTTTCAATGTATGTTGCTGACCATGATACCAACTGGGACAACATTCTTCCCTACGTAACATATGCATATAATACGGCACAGCAGTCTACAACCGGCTACTCTCCATACTACCTCC